ATAACTCCAAAGTCACGCTTAGACACATGCTATACTATGGAAAAGTCACAGAGTTTTTATCAAATATCAAATATCCACTATGAACACTTCGTGTTCTTTAATTTTATTCTCTATGATGAGTAACATGTGAATTGAGTAAAACCAATTGCCAGTTCTGAAGGCTTGCTGAAACACAAACCAAGCAAATTACTACACTGGTTTCACATGAGAGCCTTGAGCAGTTCTTTCCCCCGTAACAGGCAAATAACCTGCGAGCACACATTTAGACAGCCAGCCTAGCTGTGACTGTGTCTCACCCATTCCATTTACATGCTCTGAGCCTGACCTTACTGTTGCATTTCTGAAATACTCCAAAAACACCTTCCTGGTCACTCAGTGAACCAGGTCAGGGAAGTGGGTGGGTGCTGCTGACAGCAAACCTGTTTTCCCACTGGCTGTTTTTTCAGGTGCTGGGTTCAGGCAGCACAGGGAAAAAGTGGAAAACAATAAATAATGAGTGTAAGGTGGGCAGGGGAGGAACAGGCACAACTGCTCCCTGCACCAGCACCGGGCTCACCTGAGCTGCAGCTCGTGCGGGAGAGGTGACTTCCAGAGCTTACCTGGAGTACTTGTGAAACACAGCAAAAGGCACCAAAGCCTTACAGCTAAATAAATCTGTTCTCCTCGGAGAGAGCCATCTACAGAGAACAGCTACTGTAACAGCAGCTCTGCAGAACAGCACAACTGTTCCGCAGGCAGGTTTACCAGGCTGAGGAGTGCGCTTTTCTCTAATGCATTATTCTGTGCTGCTGTTTCATAAGCCATTGATTTTATTATTTTAGAACAGCAACTACAATCAAACATAGAAAAATTGCTCTCCACTTTGCTAAAGTAAATGTTCTGAGAGCTGACGACAGGAAATTTAGTAGTGGTTATGACCTATGGCTAAGTCCTTCCTTAAGCAAATGTAACATATTTTTTAAGTAAATAGGATGCCAAGACAAAGAATTTCAAGGAGACGCTTTATACTCTTACTTACATAACCCAGGTACCTCAAATGGAGACAAGAGAACTGTACACAGCTTGAATCAAGCTTTGCAAAACAAACCAGCACAGGTACTTTATTACTCAGCAACCTGCTGCTAATGGCATCGCTCGCACGAATTTTTCCAGGCAGACGGACACTTCTAGAGCTCCACACCTCTGCTTCACAAAACCACGGCACTCTGCACCTTTTGTGCCCTCCCTCGGGGCACTGACTCAGATTACAGGGAGCTATTGTTCCTGGCGCCTTTCCAGAGGCACCTATTGCTCTGTTCAGGGAGAAGCATGAAATTTAAAGAGTTTTCAGCCAAGCAATGTCGTTAAATAACACTGATCTGAAATCCTGTCTCATCCAAATAATTAAGACCAACAAGCAGCAACGTATTTTAACATTAAGCATAAACCAAAGGTTTTCTGGGAGTGAAATGAGAACAAACATGCTTCTCAATAGCAGGCACAAAACAGCGATCGAAATAAAAGGCTTTTTTTCCAAGGGTTATTTAAAAGCACCTGCACAAACAGCTTGAGAAGATCTGATGCACTCCGAGGACATTGTTTTCACCAGTATCTTGTCACAGTAGCAAACAAATGCATTGCTCCCATTTGTAGTACCATGCCCTTTAATATAATAAAAAATGAGTTGGTAGATCACCATAAAACACTATTAGACACAATTATCCATTGATCACATGGAGATACTGAATAACACCCATCATCACACTGCCAGACATCCCTGTTTACAGGAAGCCAATTTTTGTATCACTTAACAACAAGCAGAGACTAATCAGGCACACATCCATGGAAGATGGTACAACCAACAGGATACATAAAGGATGCCAGGCCTTTTCGAGTGAAGGAATCAGAGGAGAGGTACAGCAGGGAGGAAGTGGGGTAGGGGGTTACATTCAGACTTGGCTCACTATTCATGATCCTCATTTCCTTTTCCAGATGTCACATTAGTGCACCAGAAGGGAGCAGAGAGATTGTTTTGGCTGCTGCAGATGCAAAGGAAACCAGAGCTGTGGTGATAACATTTCTGCCTGAACAAAGGGCACCCTCCCCACCGCAGCTCTGTGGGCTCTGGGCAGCAGCACTCGGTACCTTGTTCCCAGGGACACACAGGCTCTGCCAGAGACTTCTGACAATGCCGCTTATGGTTACATGATATCAGCTTATTGCAGCATATTCCTACCAGTAGCAACAGTGTGGAAGCTGCAGTAAGACATGGACTTAGGTCTGTGCTTCTCTTATTTCACAGCTACTCACAATGTTTTATTGTGCTGCAGCAGACACCAAGGAGGCTGCAGAAAGCCAGAGCCGAGACCTTTCATGCAACTATCTTCATTCAACACAAATATACTTAGATTTTTTTCCTTTCCTCATATGTGGCTTTGTTTCCTAAACCAGCACTAGGAAAAGCCATGCCATTGGTTAGTCAGAAGATACTTACTCCCCTGACAACATTAGGTTATCCAAAATGCTCATTTTTTGGTAAATCACTGCTCATCAAAAGCCACTACTGTTAGTTACTAGCAGACACACAGATACATACAGATGCACAAATATACATAGAAAGTGTCACTCACCAGCAAAACCAATTCTCAAGCATTACACATGCTTTCAGAAAGTTGAAGGTGTTTGTTCCCTGTGCAAAGTAAATCACAATTTGCTACATTTCTTTAAACTTCACTATGAGAAGCGAGGTTCAAGATGAATAAGAAGATGAATTCCATGATAGTGTTCTGTTTACACAAGTATTCCAATGCATTGTGAATCCTGAGGCTATAAAAGCAATTCTTCAAAAGTTTTGCCATTTTAAACGCCATAGAAAAGAAATGAGACACTTCAAAATGAGACAGTAGCAAAAGTAAACTTGCAAACCAGTTTATCATAACTGTATTCCCTCTATTAAACTGTTTATAATGGTAAAAAAAAAGTTACTTTATATTACAGTGCACATTCTGGAATAATAGCATTGGGAAGCTTTTCTTCTGCCTATTGCTGTTAAAGGATTGACTAATGTAGTAGATCTGGATGAACAAACATATTGTATTTAACACCTACAGCCTCCTAAATTAGGGCACACAGAGGAACAGTTTGATTTACAAGTGACAAATGTATTTTTTTCATTTATAAATGACAAAAATACATTTACAGAAATAATTTAAAAGCCCTGACAGTGTGCAATTATACCTGAAACCTGTGCTAAGGGAAAACAGCTTCAAGGAACAAAATAAGATGCTGTTCTAGAGTCTGAAACAACTTCTGGACTGAAAACTACATATAGCATTTGGATTGGTCATGAGACTTCCATCTTTCCTAGAGGGATGGGGAAAGGAAACTTTACAGATACACTAAGCAGAAGTATAGTAATAGGATGAAAACAAGCAGCTAGGCATCAGTTTAGCCAATATTCATCTTTTCTATTGAAGCAGCTGATGCATTCCTGTTGCGACCTCTTGATCTTTGTTGTTTCACTGAAAATAACTGCTGGAACATCAGTACAACCAAAAGCTTGAAAAATTAATATCACAAGTCTGCCATTACCTGCTTACAAAGCACCTGCTTTAAATAGAACAAATCAAAAGGTGCAGTTTAAGAGCATAAATGTCTCCCACAGGCTCACTCATAATAAAGCACCACAAAATTATGTTCACTAATGAGTAAGTTACATGAAAAAAGGGACTGTATTTACAGTCGCATCCTTTTGTCTTTCTAAATTTAATTTTGTAATTTGTATTTCAAAAGCATCAATAAAGCTTTTTAAGCTTAAGCACCTTCCCATGTAGACAAAGCCAACAAGTATACCCTGGATGCTTCTTATGCACCTGCAATGCAGATCAAAACAGACAATTCCAACCTCAGCACTGCCTCAGCTCCTGTGCTTTTATTTACGTTCACTGTCTCAGCCTTACAGGATTTAATAAGGCAAAACCGCATACCACTGTTGTCCACAGTGGGAGCGGCCCCTCCTTCCTCCTTGCTGTCCCACCCCAAGTCCTGCGTAGGGAAACAGAACATCTATGCGGCTGGAAGAACCTCCATGTCTGAGGATGCCCTGCACTTCTTTGCTGCCACAGCCACAAGCGACATTCTCCTCAGAAGAAAAAACCTCATCTCAAATGAGGACCACTCCCTACCCACCCATGAGACTACTCCCTACAAAACCCATCCATCCATCCATCCATCCATCCATCCATCCATCCATCCATCCATCCATCCATCCATCCATCCTCTCTTGCAGAGAGATGCAGAGCAACTCATGCAAACAACACTGTTGTCACTTTCCGAGTGAACGCGTACCCTACAGAAGGCAGCGGTGAAGGATGCGATGCTCACCCTGCCCCAGCGGGTGTGGTGGGGTCAGCAGCGCCGCTGATACCCGCCTGCCTGCGCAGACGGCCGCGGGAGGGAGGCGGCCGGGCGGAGCGCTCCCTCCTGAGCGGGGAAACATTCACAGCCAGAAACCAAAGGAACGCCCTGTGCCGAGCCAACCCAACGGACAGATGCGGGCGAAGTGAGAAACAGGATAACCCCTTTTCTCCTCCGGTGCTTCAGAGACCAGGGAAAAGGCCTTCTATCCTGTTAGACGAGGGAAGGAGGCACTCTGGTGCAGCGCCAGCGCGCCGCGGGCAGCAGCAGCCCGTCCCGCACCTCAGCCGCTGCAGTACCGCGGGCTGCCCGCCCGGGCTGCTCCCGCCCCGCCGCACCGGCCGCTCTTCCCCCCTACGACCCAACACCGCGACCGACCGCGGAGAGGGGCCGGCGGGCACCCCGATCCCCTCTCGGGGCCGCGCAGGAGACGGGCGGCGGGTGCGCGAGGAGGTGAGGCCTCAGCCCCCTCAGGGAGCGGCGATGCCGCTCACCTGCCCCGCGCCCAGCCCCGGGGTCGCGGTGCCGTTACCGCCCCGTGGCTGACGCGCGGAAGCTGCCGTGCGCCGCCAGGGTCCCGCAGCCGGGCCGGGGCCGCGCCTCACCTGCTCCTTGCTCCGCGGCCGTGCCGAGTCGCCGCCGCCAGCAGCGCGCAGCAGCCCCGCGGGGCCGCACTTACCGGCCGCGGCGGGGACCGGGGGCGGCGGCGCAGGCGCAGGTACGGCTGCGGCAGCCCGGCCCGTCGCTATGGCAACGGGGGGTGTCAGCCCTGTCACCGGCAGCGGCCTTGTCCCCGCCCAAGGGCGGGGCGCGCGCGGACACCGGCCGGGGCGGGCACGGTCTTGTGCGCTGGGGTGGCGACTGTCGTGTCGTGTGCACAACAGCGTGCACCATCGTGTGCGCTATCGTGTCGTGTGCACAACAGCGTGCACCATCGTGTGCGCTATCGTGTCGTGTGCACAACAGCGTGCACCATCGTGTGCGCTATCGTGTCGTGTGCACAACAGCGTGCACTACGGTGTCGTGTGCACAGCAGTGTGCACTACGGTGTCGTGTACGCAACGGTGTGCGCTATCATGTGCACAGTTGCATCGTGTGCACACCAGCATGCACTGTCGTGCACAATTGTGTCGTGCGCTATCGTGTCATGCACAACAGTGTGCACTATAGTGTGCACTATGGTGTGCGCTGTCGTGTTACACACAACTGTGTCGTGTGCACAGCAGTGTGCACTGTAGTGTGCACTGCGGTGTGCGCTATCGTGTCGTCCACAACAGTGTGCACTATTGTGTGCACAACGGTGTGCACTGTCATGTGTGCAATTGTGTCGTGGGCACTATGGTGTGCACTATGGTGTGCACTATCGTGTTGTGTGCACTATTGTGTGCGCTATTGTGTGCACTATCGTGTTATGTGCACGGTGTTGTGCACAGTCATGTGCAGGGTCGTGTTGTGTGCACAGTGGCCGCACAGAATCAGCCAGGTTGGAAACACCATTAAGTTCATCAACTCCAACTGTTCCCCAGCACTGCCAAGGCCACCGCTAAACCGTGTCACCAAGGGCCTCTTCTATGCATTATCTGAACACTTCCAGGGATGGTGAGTCCAGCACTTCCTGGGCAGCCTGCTCCAGTGCCTGGAAACTGGAACATATATAAAATCATAGCATGGTTTGGGTTGGAAAGGACCTTAAGAACATTTAGTTCTACCCCCCCTGCAAGCTCCATGAAATGAGTGCAGGTCCAAGTGGAGTGAGCTGCCAAGGGTGGCATTCCTGGTGTGCCCATCTCTGCACATGGCACAGGGTGCCCAGAGAAGCTGTGGCTGCCCCATCCCTGGCAGTCAGTGTTCAAGGGCAGGTTGGATACAGGGGCTTGGAGCAACCTGGCTCTAGTGGAAGGTGTCCCTGCCCGTGGCAGGGGTTGGAACTGGATGAGCTTTGAGGTCCCTTCCAACACAAACCATTTCATGAGTGTATTCACTTTGGCTCTGCAATATCATTTCTGCATGAACACATGCAAAAGACTGCACATGAGCTGGGTTGGGTTAAGCCCTGAATGTGCAGCTGTATGATATCAGATGCTCTGTACATCTGTATTTTCTGCATAAAACCATGTGGAAGATTATGCCACATGCCATAGTCACTGCGATTATAGTGCTGGCAGGTGCACACAAGCTCAGACGAACAGTGTGTGTGCTGGCAGACATGCACAGGAATTCCCATACTGCTAATGAGCATGGAAAGGTTGGTACAGTTGGGATTTGCCCCTCACAAGGACATTGCACACATAGGAGCAGCCCAATTGCATGCAGATTTGCACACAGTGTCTGTTCTGTGTTTATAACGGAAAGAAAATGCTTCATTATGAAGGACTTCAAAATTAAGAGAGAGAAGCTTGATTTCTTCAAGCAGCCAACAGAAAAAGCTGATTAAAGGTTCTAGAAGTTAGAGATAATTTTCTCAGGAAAGGGAAGTATCATCCGCAAGAGAGAGAACTGTTTCACACCTTCACCACAATCAAATTCAGTGCTAAGTTGCAAGCTGGTGGCTCTGCCTACCTTCAGAGTGATGCTGTTGTGAGGAAACTGGAGGATGGTTTCACACATGCTTCCCACCTCGAGCCAGGAAATATGAAGCACAACGTAGCCTAGAAGGAAATGTTTTAAAGAAAGCTTATTAGTTCTTAGTCAAAGCTAAACCCAAAGATGTCCAGTTTTGAATGGGGATTTGGAAGTGAAAATGAGATTTAAGTGTACTTGCAATGATGGAGAAAGGTCCTATGGTGTGAAGGAGCCCGCTGCTGTGTTTCACCAGAGTGATGATGTGAGCAGTGACATCAGCCTGGGATGCAGTGGTCCTTAGCAGTTCCCAGTGCTGCGATTCCCACCTTTGGGATGTCTCTCTGCAGGAGCTGGCCAAAGCCAGGCTGAACTCAAATGCTGGTTTGCAGCATCAGGCAGACACAGACCCAGAGAACAAATCACCTCCTGTTCGTGGTTTTCCTTCCATTTTATCTCTCCACCTTTTTATATAAAATGTGGACTCTTAATTTAGGATCGTGTGATCCCATTAGGTGATGAACCAGACTGAGAAGTTGATTCAGTGAGGACCTGTGTCAAAAGAGAAATGCATTTGCCATTGAATCACCCTGTCAGGGAACACAGGAGGATGTTACATTCAATATGGATCCCTAATAACATCGCACAGGTGAAGGAAACCCCCCACTGTTGCTGGAAAGAAAGTGCTTTATATTAACAGGCCATAAGATGTGACATTCATACAACAGAAATACATCCCTGTACCTCATGTAAGGAAAACGTGTTGGAAACAAAGGGGTGGAAATATATTCATTCAGAAATAAATTGAAATAGTCCCTAAGCGTTTTTCCATGTTCCCCCTGATTTCTCTGAAGTTTTCAGTTCTGTGATGTTTCAGCCTGCAAATGTCACCCCTACCTGTCACCCTTTCCAAGGCTGCTCCATTTCAGCAGGAACATCTGCTGCCCCTCTCCAGGTGAGTGGCCCACTGATCTGACCCAGTTCCTTCATGTTTAAAATGGGAATATCTTGGTGTTGCAGGGTGCTGCGAGCATGGTAATTACGTGACATCAATATCTGCAAGACTCTTTAGAAGTCCTGGAGGCTGCTGTGTAATGCAGTTAATTATAGCTCAGCGTCTCCTATGTGCAAAGAGAGGGGCTGGAGGAAGCTCTGGCCCCAGCCACAACTCCTGAACTCTGGAGATAGCCAAGGGATTTCCCCCAGAATTTCAAATCCCCAATCCATCAAAGTACAAATGAAGGGCTCTGAGATACGAGCATTTTGCAGTAAAATCTCACATTGTTTCTGCTCCACCAGAATCAGAGATCACAAAGAGCTGTGCCATTACATGTAGCAGTCCTTAAGCCCTATGTTGCCTGTGGGTTGTACTTCCATAGGGGAATTATCAGTGCTTCATGCAGTTACAAATTCCTGTCAAAGTGCAGGCATCCTGTCAAAGACTGGCCCTAAGCAACCATCCCAGGGTCAGAAAGAAAATCCATGGAGAATCTGAGATAAAATCCAGATTTCTTAACTCTCGTGATTTGACAGGATAAGGCAGAAAACCCAGCAAGGAGGTTCCAGATCTGAGGACCTGAGTTCTGAACTTCAGTTCAAAGACTCTGTCCCTTCACATCTTATTCTTCAGCCATATGGTCAAGCTCTGCAGAGTGGGGAACGCCTTACACAGGTGGATTTGCCTGGATTTGATGGGATGATACCATCTGCAGGGACTGCCAGGACCTCATTGCTAAGCGGAGAGTCACAGGTTGGCCAGTCTGTCTCAGGACCAGAGGAAGGATGGCTCTGATCCCTGCTACATAGCCCTCCATGCTGTCCACAGGCTGGCCTGGCTGCACTGGAAATGTGCCACGTTGCTGGCATGAAGAATCTCCAGAGTTTATATATAGGAATAAATCAAATGGCTGCAAAGCCTGGGCAGACAGTGTGACACAGCGTGGAGGAATGAGGGCTCCCAGCAGCGCTGACAGCAGCAGCACCAGCTCTGGCTCTTCTGCTTTCTGTGCCATCTGGGGATGGAGAAGGGGACCAGGTAAGAGGATGAGGACAATTGGTGTGTACTTGGTATAGGGGCCATATATTTTAAAAGGCCCATGCTAATTAAGCTAATGGGAGATGAGTGCAGGAAGACGTCAGGAAGAGGTTAGGGCAAGGCTGATCCTGTCCTGTCTGTCTCAGATGATCTGCCTCCTACCCCTCCTTTATGTGGTCTTGGGTGTGCTCCCAGGCTCTACCAGGAGCTGGGAGAGGGATTTTCCAGGATGTTAGAGGCAGTGCATCTTCCCACTCTTGCTGGCTCTTTGCTTTTAAGGTTCCTTTGCTTGTTTTGTTTGTTAAAGAGCACAGATTAAGGGGGCAGAAAAGAGCTGCAGAGCTGGGAATAGAAAAGTTCAATCACCTTTCTGTGTCACTGCACACGGATGTTATTCCTCTTTGCCGTGCATCTGCAATATCAACACGCACAGCTGGCGTGGTTTTGTTTCTGGTAATGCAGATCTAAATCCAGACACCCTCCATTCCATAAAGCCCAAAGAGTTAGTGTTAATTAGATCAGTGTGGCTGAGATGAGAATCTGGGATTACCTTCTCATTGACCCCGTCAGGAAGGAGACAGGGCTGGAGTGTCTCTCTCTCCTTGCAAGCAGGCAGCCTGCAGGTTGTTGTGCAAGTCCTCTGCCCTGATAGCAGTGTGCTGAGGGTAGGGCAAGGGGAAGTTACAGTGCAGAGTCTTTCCCAGAGCTCGGCACAGAGTGGGGAACAGCCAGGATGAAATTCAACCAAAATGTTAAAATCTGAAGGGTGATGGGATTCCTTCTCTGTTCTAAAAGGGGGATTTTGAAAGTCAGAACCAAATGTACATATACGTGTGTGTATAGAGACTTCTATAATGATCCTTCTTGAGTACCTCTGTGATCAGATATCCTATTGGAAAAGCATCAGTTAAAATACTCAAGGCCTAATTCTGCGCAGTGGCATGGGCCAAGCTAGCATTCCTACAGGGCTGTTCCTGAGTGCTGTCTTTGGTCCCTTCACTGCATCTTACCAACAGCCTCTAAGATAATTAGCAGCCATCAGATGAGATCTAGTTCTTAACAAACTCCTCCCTGCACTGGAGAGGGAGGGGAGAGCTCAGTGAATGGCAGGAAAAATCAGTGTCAGGGAGTGAGGACAGTTCCTGTAATCGTCCTCTGAAAAACAGTGACATTACCAAAGATTTATTTACAGAAGCTGGGAGAAATAAGGGAGATGCTGTCAGCTCCTTAAGGCAAAGACTGGGTTTATTTATTGTTTTCCCTTTGTTTGCACAAAACTGAGGCCAGTGGGGTTGCTGGTATAAGAGGAGGCCTCCTGCTGCAGAACAAGTAACACCTGATGGCAAGTGCTGAAACTGAGGCTCAGACTTTTGTTGAGGAGCAGAACTGGAGAAAGCTGGTCAGGATCCAGGAGATGCCTGATCCAGCCTGACATCCATGGCTGGAGGAGCAGAAGGTGGGAGCAGGCTGTTAAGAGAAGTACAGGTCTCTGCACTTGGAGTGCAGAACACAAAGAACCTCCTTGCAACTCTGCTGCAGTGTGGTTGACCATTAATGCTGCAGTGCTGAGCAGAGCGTGGTCAGCTGTATCCCAAAGGTGACACGTTGGCCTGCATTGCCTTACTGGTCATGTACTTTATAGTGAGATGCTCAGGAGCATCAGTGGTGGTTTTTAGCACAGGAGGCAGGCAGCCAGAAGGGTTTTGCATCCCTGATATCGTACATTGCCCAGAAAGCTAATTTAGTGCAAGCTGCTCTTATCTCATCCATTAAATGTGCAAGTGAATTGACCTACTCCCTAACTAAAACATTGCTACAGCTGCTGGCTGGGAGAAGGCATCAGCCCCTTACTCAACTCCCTTATCTCCACTTTACCAACCAGTCTCTTAGAAAATCCATTATTTTTCAGCATTAATTCATGAGATGGCTGTTAGCCAGAATTCTGTGATTGTACAAACAGGGGCAAAAGCAGTCCCCACCTTTCAATCACATCATGGGCCTTTCCCAGGAACCTGGGGAGTAAGGGTTCCCATTTCAATCAGAAAGGGTGTGATTAAGGCCCAGAACAGCTTTCAAAAAGCTCTTCAACCAGGCAACTGAACACAGACAATCAGTCCACAAAGGAAAAAGGGCAAGTTGTGAATAGCCTATAAATAAGAGAACACCAAACATTTTTTTTTCTAGGGCAAAAGAAGACCTGACATCTGCATTTTGTTTATAATTTTGTTTATAAGGATTTATATGTGTATATATATATAAAAATAAAAATCCAATGTATGTAAGTAATCACTGACAGGTTTATATATATATATGCCCAGACTCTGCCTACTGTATTGCATCCAGTATCATCAGGAAAAAGGCCAGTGACCTTTATGTTCAGGGAGCAAAATACTCCTACAGAACCTTGTCTGTTTTGTCAGACCTGCTAGATGTGCTGTAGCTGTTACCATGCATTAGCTCTCATCACATACATGTACACCCGACCCATGACTGCTTCCTTTCAGGTCAGTGATAAAGCGGCTTCGAAGAAGCAGATTTGCAGTGGGAGATGTACCCTTGGGCCAAAGAATCGTTAAATTACCAGCATCAAGAAGCCTACTGCAATGTGAGTTGACAGTTGTATGGTACTAGGCTGAGGCTGTGTTTACTCTGCCTACATTGAACTTCTTTTTCCTCTGAGTAATTTCCCATCACTGCTATCACATGGGTTTATTTCCATGGCAGACAGAGGAAAAGACAAGTCACTGCAGTTGTCAATAGCTGGATCAGTACCATCATCTCAGCAAGCTGATGCCTGCCTCCCCCAGCAATACAGGCAAACAGGTGGGCAATTCAAAATCCTGTACCAAAGAGTAAAGTCAAGCACACAAGAAAGTACCACGCTAAATGATTGCAGGGGGTGCAGAAAGTCCTCCACCAAACCAGCTGTGCTTTATAATCCTGCTCTATACTCAGATGAGTCTGATTACCTTGCACACAACCAGCCCTCCGCTGCCACAGGTCCTCTATTGCCTCCTAATAATAAGCAGTACTCATGTGAAGAGCTTTAAACCTGGTTGAACAGAGTGGGAGAAATACAAGATTCCTTTTGCTGATGGAAGAGTCAAGGCATGAAAATATTAAATAACCTGCTAGAGCACACTGGGATGCTGAGCTACATTGCCTGAGGGCCTGCCTCATATTTTAAGAGAGATGATCTCTATTCCTGTGGAACAGAACATGCTGTTAGCTGGGGAAGTACAGATGCCTATAATTGTCTTGCAAAGAAAAGGCCTTTAAATGACCAGGAAGCAGCACAAAGACCTAAGCTTGCTTTATGAACCTAAACCACATAGTTGCCCCTAAGTGCAGCATTCCACCTCCGTACAGCTCAGCTGCTCCACGGTCTCTAGGTGAGACAAAATGAAGGGATTTGATTTTATCTTCCCTGATGGTGATTGTTAATGGCCTGCAAATTGGTGTCACGTGTGGCTTCTTTTTATTTCTGCACGCTGTAAGCCAATTAGATGTTCCCCAGTTAATAGTTTTTCTCCTTGTATCTGGGAGGGGTTTTGTGCTTGTCTGTCTTGGAGTTGTAAAGATGTCTGTGGTTTTATTGCTAGATTTTTACAAACCTCGGGTTTGTGTTTTTGTGATGATTGCTGCTGTGAGGACATCTTAGAAAAGATTGTGTTTCTCTTTGAGATTATATTTTGCTCTGTTGATCTTTCTCTTGACATTTCAGGGAGTTTGGGGATAACTGGTAAAACATGCAGAGTAAGCAAAGGGGATCTCCTTCACTCCACGTCCTACCTTTGCCAAACTGGGGAGACACAGGATGTTTTCATTTATTAAATTAACATGGGTTTGTGTTGGTGTGAAGCAGTGTCTGAATAGGGCAGGGTGTGCTGTGATGTGAACAGCCCACACCAGTGCCTTTTTCCCTTTCCTATCAGAGCTGCTGAATCTTTTCCCATCCTTCCTGTTTGCTCATCCAAACCTTATAAAATACCCCATCCTTGGGATGATGGACAGATTGTGCAGATGTTTAGCTGTCACTGTTTCAAACCTGGTTTCAGACTGGCAGGATTGTGTTTCAGATTGATTAAGCAAATGATATGCAAAGAGGAAATCTCTCCCCTCTCTTACCTGAGGCTAATGGTAAAGCTGAGATGTGGAGATGTGCTGGCATTTGGCTGCTGTGGAGCTGTATCAGTTCTTTGTTGTTACAAGTCAGGGAAACTTGAAAACTTCATCATCTTGCCTTGAAGATGCAGAATTGTTTCCATTAGCTTGCTGAAAAGACCAGAAAAGGCACGTAGGAACCTGCAGACAAGAAACTTGTGGTCAGTCTCAGCTCATATCTTTTTATCATGTTCACTTTCAAAGGATTCCAAAGAACCTGGGAACTATTAAGGAACTAGTGACAGAGCTGTAAATTACATGGTAGTGTCCCGAAAAGAGCCAGTTTCAGTATCTGGAAAGAAGAAAGTTGAAGACCATTTCCTGTATGAGCTGTTGCAAACACTCAGACCTTCTGATCGATAGGATGAGGATGGAAACAGCTTAGGATAGAATGATTTTAGATGTTGGGAGTTATCCTGTATTATTTATTATCAGAGATGACTTGGTTCGAGTACTGGTAATGACAGTGCTGTAGTCACTCAGTCTCAGCCTTAAATAAAGTATTCATGGGTACCATTAAAGGGCTGTTACTCACATCCTCAATGGATTTTGCAGGGATGAACTCTGAGATAACACTGGGACGAGAGGCTGCTTGACCAACTGACTGGAGCCTTTGGGGGGTTTGAGGTACTGGTTTTCCTTCTGGCCCTGTCTGCTCTGTGACCTTTAGCAGGGCAGTTCCCTCCTCTCTGCCCATCTCCACCTTGGCCAGGACTCTCCTGCTGTACAAGTCTGCAGTGCCTGGAACAGCAGGACCAGGATGCTGGTAGAGGCTTCTTGGCAGCAGAGGGATGCCAGCAGCAGATAGTCACCGACCTGAGTCATCAGGTTTGCATGAACACAAAGCTGCTCCATCAGGTACAGTCTGTGCCCTCACCACCCCTTCCTGTGAAAACCCTGCTGACAGCAGAGCTGTCCCTAGTGCAGGTTCTTCCTTGGGCCTCCACATATGTTTGGGGGATGAACAGAGCCAGGCTGCGGGGAACATTTCTGAATAAAACCAGAAGAGATAGAAGGCTTTGTATTTTGTTTTGTGTTTTTCCATACGGGGTATGGTGGTTTGGCATCTGTCAAGTGAACAGATTAAGAACAGATGGGGAAAGATGTGAAACCCCATTGATCTCTGAGGGATTATTTCAGAAACACAGAGAACAAACTCAAGCTGGATTCTGGCCCCTGCTCTTACATCTCTTCTGCAGGCACTGCCCAAAATGTGCTTTGTGCTGATCAAGAGTTCCTCTGCTCCTGTGCCTTGGGCACCTCTGATCTCCTGCCCCTCTTCCAGCCTCCACCATCTCACACCTTACCTGGGGACCTATTTGGGGTTCCCACCCCAGAAATGGGGCTGTGGGAGAAGGGCTGCACCCTGCCCTGCATCCGCATCCCAAAGGCACACAGACCCTGACCCTCTTCCTTTGTCCATGCTGCAAGCAGCCAGCTTGTAGCTCCATTTCACAGCTGGTTTATCGTGCATCTTTAAAACAAACTCCACAGAACACATCCCTGCTCCAATACTATCCCTAGCCAGGGTACCACCACATGCATTTTGTGCTTGCAGCCAGCAGAGGACACTTGCTTTCTTTGTAAAGAGCTTGCGCTGCATTTGGATGCATCAAAGCAAAAGAGGGAAAGACTCAGGGCTTGGCCACACGTGGGCACTGGAACAGCAAGAGATGGGCTTGTCCCACGCTGCTTTCTAGCCCCAGGGCTCTCTGGTGGTGCCTTTGTCCTTGGCCTTTCATGAGATGTTTGGGATATGCCTGCAACACGCTGTAAATCCTGCAGGCTGGCTGTGCTGGGGTCCCTGGGACGGGTAAGTGCCTGTGACCCCCCAGATCTATTGCTTTGGAGTGCATGACTCCATGAGTGGCTGGAGGACATATGGGCTGGCTTGGCTTCATGGGCGATGGCAGCAGCAGAGATCTCAGTGCAAAAGGCAAAACTTTGGCAAACGTGAGGTTACCAAGCTTGCACTGAGCTCTCTGTTGCAAGGGCTTGCAGGCAAATGAGATTCAGTCTGGATCAGATGTGGAACTGCAGACATGGCACATTTGAGATTCAGATTGAGCTCAAGAGAGCACAGCGAAGCCAAGCCAGGACTAATCCCTGACCTCTGCAGCCTGTCTGGCTGCTCTGATGGCCTGGAGGAACATTAAAGTCCCTCGCTATTTGGCTGTGCAGACCTGGGGTGACTGAGCCATGCAGAACAAGCCAGGGTTGGAGCCCACAGCCCCACTGTGCTAACACATAGGCTGTGAGCAGTTTTGTGGCAGTGGATCAGCAGGATGAGAAGCACCCAGTGCAGCTTAGCCCTTCTCAAGAGAGCCCACGTGGCCCACAGACCCCCTGTGCTGTGTAAAATCATCACAATAAGCACTTACTTCTTTAAATCACCTATTTAGGGACTTGGGGACCCATACAGAGAAAATGGAGTCAGAATAGCTTAAAGCTATGCATACTGTGTCTATAAATACATACCTCAGGTCCTGAATGATGCAGTTGTAGATACCCATGGTGCCCAGATGAGTCTGGGTTTTGGTCAGCTGTGCTCTCATTTTCCCTTCTGGCTGTCCTCTGTATTGGAGGGAAATATGGATTTTACTCCTGGACCACAAAGGAAATCTTGGTCTTAAATGAGCCACTGAGCACGATACCTGGAGCTGTAAAGGCAAAACAGACAAGTGTGCAGAAAAACATACAGTACTCTTGCCTTTCACCACAAATGAGGCTCAGTATAGCTCTCCTGAGGAACACATGAAAAAGGTAGAGCCTTCCAGGTATGGAAGCAGCGCTTTGTGGGCTGTGTGGTGCTGGAGCTGAGCCTGAACATGGCCTGTGGACTCTGCACCTCACCTGAGGCTCCCATGTCCACCCCAGCTCTTGCTAACATTGCAGGAGTAACCATAGCTGTAAGCCATCAGGCTCCTTTACCTCCCATTGATCCCAGACTGCCTGTAACCAGGACCAACTGTAGGAGGTGACCCAGGAGATCCACAATAAAACTGACTCCATCCCAGAACCAGCACAAGCCAAATCTCTGGCACAACATTTCTAGCACAATGGAGCCAGTGCTTGCTCCATTGAAGCAAGCTGAAGTTCCCTGCTCACCACTGGGAGGATGAGGTAGAGCAGATATATATATAGGCCAGGGTCCATAGCATAGGCCAGACCCTGCTCCGGCCATAAAAGCCCCACACTGGGCTTTAAAGATTTATTAGCTGGAATTAAGCAGCTTTCTGGTCCCTTTCTGGTCACATCAGCGAGATGTAACAATCCCTCCTAGGCCATTAACAAAAGGAGCTGGCAAGCCGAGATTTGATGACTGCCTAAACAATACGAAGAGGTGGTGATTTGCTGGCGATGTGTAAAAGCAGGCAACAAATCAGCTGGCAACGTGCACTAGGCTGAAATTAAATCAAAGCAAAAGGCAGATGACTTTGAACGGGCTCCAAAGGTCACAGAGAAACAAGCAAAAACTGACAAAGTTCACAGGAAAACAGAGCAAGCAGAAGGAGCGCTGCATCTTCTTGGCTTGGGAGTTGTTGGCATCTGACTTGCAGCATGTCTGAGTTCAATAAATGTATCTGGAGGGAGGCTGGAGGCGTCAGAAACAGAATTAACTGGTGCATAGAAGCCTGCCTGTTACAGCACTGGGGAAAGTGTGCAGAAACCATGGTGCTGAGCAAGGCTGAGTTGCAGTGAAGCTTTGATGTCATGGGGATGGTGATGCTGGAGGCAGGCTCCAACAGTGGCTGTTCCTTACAGCGGGTGCAGTGGGTTATAGCTGCAGGACTGTAACTGCTGCATCAGTGCTTCATGCTGTCCCAGCTATTCATCAGTCACAGGAAAGGACCTACTTCACACCGTGTAGAGAGAATGGCTCTTGTGTAAGAGATTAATGGAGAAGAGACAGTACTCCAGGAGTACTCTAAGGCCAGTAATCCTTATGTGAGGCAAGATACAACCACTCATGAGAAAGAAGCAAAAAGGAGCCTTTGTATTGAGGACACAGAATAGCAGTGCATCAAAGTCAGGGGAAAAAGCACTCTCAGTTTAGGGCAAGGAACTCAGAAGCCATGAACAGCAGGGCAACCTACCCGTGGTGGATTGCCTAAGCAGAAGGAGGATATGAGTTGGTACTTTCCTAATTACAGCATCTGCTTATAGCTATGTTTTCATCTTTTGGCAGCTTGGTTGGTGCAGCATTTAATTATCCCTGCAGCTTGGGGCTGGTAGCAGATGCTTTTCAGACACCTAACAGGGATAAAATAAGTAGAAGTGCAAGTATCCCCTTCTCTCTTGGCCTTCAGCAAGGGCAGAATCCAGGCCCATAATATCTCTTATGCATTTGCCTCCTACATATTGCATTAGGAAAGAGCTGTAGTAGGCTTGGAGCAATGAAGCCCAGAGAAATAGGAAACACATAAGGGAATGGTTTACACCAGTTCCTCCCAGTGCTGTGACATGAAGAGTTCAAATCAGTGCGTGGGTCACCAGCTCCCATCAGTCCCTTAAGGGGCTTGAGCTCCTGTGGGCATCAACTTCCTGCAACCAGCAAACTTCAACCTGGACATCAGCAATACACCAGCCCACATGGCAAATCTAGGGCTTCTAATTGCCCCCAGCTAATGGCACTGGGCTTTTGGGACCCATAAGAGAGACCTTCAGGAAGATCCCAGCCTCAGGCCTGTTGGAAATGGTTGGCTTTTGTAATGCAAAAAAACCCTGCATCCTCCAAACCTGCTCAATGCTCCTTGCCATGGAGTTGTGGGGAATACACAAGCTTCATGTGAAGGAGGGATTGTATCTGTCTGGTTTGGGTGGAGGAATGGGATGTGTCTGTGCTGGGAAATTGCAAAATAGTACATTGTGCTAATTAATGCCAAACAGGAGGGCTTTGAATATACATCACCAGAATAACCTTTAGCAACCACTACATGCCTTCCATCCACGAGTAGCTCATAAAGAACATTCCTATTTATTACATGGCAATGGAAATACATCTCAGGAGCAAATTGCCCAGCGCAACCATAACGCCGAGTTAGGATTAAACAGTCTAACGTGCACAGAATGAAACACCACTCGGTCATTCATGCTCTGGGAGTGCTATGCTCACCACTGGCAGCTCCTGCAGCACTAACTAAAATACCTCTGATCCAGTCCAACAAGTTTTTTTCCAGGTTTGTTTCTCCACAGTGAAACCGCAGACCGTGCTGTATGGAAAGCTCGGCAAAGTCTAGAGTTACTGTAGGTTGCAGCGGTTGGATTTGATCCTAAAACAATGAAACCCAACGTGAAAAAGACACAGATGGCTGTCGCCTCTGTGCCGTTCAGAGTGGGTTTTGGTTTCTGGCCAGTCAGCCCCATGCCACAGTTATGCAAATAGAAGCAGCAAAGTTCAATGCAGTGGTATACACATCTCTAACAGACTGTGGCAATGAGGGATAAAATAGCTGAGTGTTTTTGAAGAGGGAGGACAAAAAGATCACCACAGCAGCTTCAAGGACAGAGGATTTAAGGACATGGGGTCAAACCTTGTGTTCACTTCAGGCAAAAGAGACTTTTGATGCACCTGGATACCTTTGTGCTCATGAGCATGTAGAAGCCTAAAAGGCTGATGAAGCCTGAAAGCCCTTCTCTGCAGGCCTCGGGGAGCTGGTTGCATGTCCTGTCTATGTAACATCAACTCCTTGGGATGGAGGCACTCATGTGGAATTCAGACGTGGGTAACAATTAACAGCAACGAGAGGCAGAAAAAGGAAGAGCTTGAAGAGAAGAGGAATGAGAAGAAGCCATGGGAAAATAGTTCAAATTGCCTTGACTGAGGGTGCACCGCCAAGGTCTAGACCTTGAATTCAGCGTGGTGTATGGGGATGTAAACACAACTGCATCCTCTTATCCTTATTCTTATCCTGCATCCTCTTATCCCAGGGCTGGATTTAGCCCTGTGGTGAAATTCAGGAAGAAACAAATGGGTAAGACTGGGCTGCAGTCTGCTGTTAAAAACGCTGTTCTCCAGTGAGGCACAAGTAACAGCAGATTTTGATCTCTCATAATTAAACTCTTAATCAACCCCTTTTAAAAATGCCCGATGGTTCCCTTCTCAATCTCTTGTGAGGATGGAGAGGCTTAGAAATGTAATACAATTCTGTGGTTCAGTTAAACATCAGGCAGGTTTCAGACTATGCTTTACTAGAACCAGATGAATTTCTAAGCTCCAAATCCAGCATACAGAATGCTGATTAAGTTTGATCTGGTGACCATCTGTCCTTGTGTTTGTAGTATGAGTAGCTAAATGAAATTCTGGGGGAAAAAAGGGTTATCTTAAATACACACAGGATAAAGCAAATTGAAGAAAGCCCCATTCACTGTTGCTATGTGAATCTTCTCAGCAAGAGAGGAAGATTAGGTTGGTCTCTGAAGTTACATATGCTCAAGTTCCCTTCTTTTTTGACTCTTAGAAGCTGAAACATCAATCTGTAACTTTTGCTCTAATTGCATCTTGTGAACTTTCCTTTAGCTGCACACTCAACCCAGGCAGACAATAGATTGGGTTCTGGTAGTGAGAAATGTTTCACTGTCAGAGAGAGTCAGTATCTTGGAAGGTGTAAATTGGTGCAGCTCAAAGCAATTTCCCACCCCTTCCAACTAGCCTTGGGCCAGTAATCACCACATATTGTTCCCCCCTTTTCATACTTATATCTTGCTATGTATCTATCCATCTTTTTCACTTAGAGCAAGTGAAGACAATTAAATTATGATTAATAGCTCGATAACCAACCAAAGGCTATCAGAGTGCTGAGGGAGTAGCTGCCAGGCTTTTTTCCAGTCATAATGGAAATTTCATGGAGAAAAGAACCGTGTGAGAAGTGCTGGCATCACATAATGCCCTCCTTTGATGAGAGCCAGCTAAGAGGCTGGGCCCATCAGCAGACTTGAATACAAAGGAAGAGAAAGTATTGGGAAAGGCAGAAAAACAGCACTGTGGGAATCACAAATACAGGAACAGACAGTGCTTGTAAGGCTTGCTAACGGAAATGGTTTCTAACATGCAAAGGCACCAGCTTCTGGTCCCCAAGGCCCATCTCATGCCACTGGCTTCTTCGTGTGAAGAACCACAGGGATTGCAAAGCAAAACCAAATTGAGTCTGTGTCCTTTGCCAGTTTTCCCCAGCTGCCTGAGAGACTTTGCTCTTTGAAACAGGGGGTATCTGTTCTTGAAAAGGAGTTGCCCACATGTCAGCGAGTCAGTCTGTGTACCAAAGGGAAGATGCTGAGGATGGCTGCAGGGCTTGGGCTGGGGTGCAGGACAGCGACACCAGGGGAGGCAGCTCAGCAATAACCACAACAAAAAAGCCTGGCTGAGATTTGAGGAGTGTCTTGGGTGCGGGAAGCTCTTTGCTACCAAGGGAGCTGCCTGCTCCAGGCTTTCCCACTGCTTACCCGAGCCTGACTTGATCTGGTAAAAGGGAAAAGGCTGCAACTGTGGTGCTTTTCTGGGGAAAGAGAGGGTCACACAAATCCCTTGGGAGGGGCATGAGAGGAGTTTGCCACGAAGAGCTAAGCAGATACATTTGAAGCTCCATGTGTGTTGTCTTGCCTGCTCTGGGGCCTCCCTGCTTCCACAGGCACATGCTCCTACCTATTAATGCTCACATTA